TAGTAATTGTACTAATTTATAGTTGTATCAAGAATGTAAAATTGTTACTTTTTCTTCACATCCTTTCCAGATTTTGTTATTGTCTGCACTCTTGATGGCTGTCATTCTCAACCGGAGTGAGATGTAATCTTAGTGTAGTTTTGATTTGCATTTTCTTAATTGCCAAAGTTATTGAACATATATTTGTTGGCCATTTTGATTTTTCTTTTGAGAAGTGCTTGTTTCATTCATTTGCCCATTTATTAATTGGGTTCTTTAGGATTTAGTGGCAAGTTTTTTGAGTTCTTTATATACTGTAGATATTAATTCTGTCAGAAGAGTAGATACCAAAGACTTTTTTTCCCATTTGTAGTTTCTCTCTTCACAATCTCAATTATTCCCTTTGCTGTTCAGAATGTTTTTAATTTGATGCCATATTATTCATTAATTCTTAATATTATTTCCTGAGCTTTGGGAGTTAAGGAAGACAATGCCTGAGTATTTACAGTGGAGTATTGACCCTAAATTTTCTTCTAGGAGCTATAAACTTTATGGTCTATTTTCTGGTAGTTAATCCATTTTTATTTGATTTTTGTAGGGTAAGATATAAGTATCTAGGCTTATTCATCTACATATGAATAACCAGTTTTCCCAGCATCTTTTGTTAAAAGGGCTCTCTTTTTGCCAGCATATATTTTTAGCACATTTTTCAAGGATCAAATGACTGTATCTGAGTGGTTCTGCCTCTGTGTTTTGCTTTTTCTTTTTTCTACATAGTTTTCTTCTATTCTGTTCCATTGGACTACATACAAATACCATGCAAATTTAATTACTATAGCTCCATAGAAAAAGTGAAGCCAGGTATTACAATGGTTCCCTCATTGCTTTTTTTGGCTGAGGATCATTTTTTATGCCCATTCAAGTGAATTTTAGAACTTTTTTTTCCCTAGTTCTGTGAAGAATGTCATTGGTAGTTTCATGGGAACTGCATTGCTTTTGGTAATGTGATCATTTTAATAATATTAATTATGTCTATTCCATGAACATAAGAGTTCCTTCTATCTTCTTATGTCTAATTCAGTTTCTTTCTTTGGTGTTTTATAGCTTTCATTGTAGAGGTCTTTTTCCTCCTTGGTTAGATTTATTCCTAGATTTTTTTTTACAGGCTTGTAAATTGCATTGTTTTCCTTATTTCATTCTCAACAGCTTCATTATGATTATATAAGTAAGCTATTGATTTGTAACCTGTTACTTTGCTGAATTTTTTTATTAGCTCTAGCAAAATTCTGGTGGAGCTTTTTTGTATCTTCTAAGCATAGGATCAGATAATCTGCAAATAGTAATGATTCTAGCTCTCCCTTCCCTATTTTTGTCTCATTTATTTCTTTTCTTGCCTAATTACTCTGGCTAGAATTGCTAGTTATATATTAAATCAAATCTAATTCCAGAGTTTTAAATGTGTGTTTTAAGGTTTTCCTCATTCACTATTATGTTAGTTTGGGGTTTCTTATATAAAGCCTTTATTATTTAGGTAAATTCTTTGTATCCCTACTTTATTTAGTTTTTTTTTTATCATTAGTGAGTGCTGAATTTCTTCAAAAGGTTTCTCTGTATCTATTGAGATGAGTGATTTTTGTCCTTAATTATATTTATGTGATGAATTACATTTATTGATTTTCTTATCCATCCTTATTACCATGGAATAAAAACCAACTTGGTTATATTGTATAATTTCCTTAATATATTGTTGTTTATAACTTTCTAATATTTTATTGAGGATTTTTGCTTCTGAGTACATCAGGGATATTGATCTGTACTTTTCTTAATGTGTCCTATAAAGTTTTGTAGTATAGTTCCTTTGTTGTTCTTTGTTGATGCTCAGTGTAGTTTGACCGTGTGTATTGTGTCAAAGATTGAGATCCAACTTTCCCTGTAGGTCTCACAAAAGTGGAGTACTTCTTGTTGATCTGGCAATTGTGTTGTATACAGCAGAGTATGTTTGGTACAATTTTATGATTGCTTTTTATCACTTAAGAAATCTGTATATTTTAAAGAGTCACATGAGAACTCTAGATTAAGGCCCCTTGTAGATGTGGTAACCATGGTCTTTTCTAAATTCTGGTTTTGTTGTTGGAGTGGATGCCCATGAGTAGGACTTGAGGGTCCCTTAACTATTTCTACTTGGGGCCTGGACATTGGTTAGGGGTTACTGTCCCTTTAATATCATTAGTGTCACTAAAGTGTGAACATGATTAGTTTGTGTATGAGCAAGGTGACTGTCCCTTTCTGGGTTTTGGAGTAACTCAGCATCAGAATCAGTACCCTGTGATTTGCAGTGTCTCAGTTAATTCCCAGCACTTCAAATAAAAAGGGAAAGCAAACAACAGCAAGAAGAGTAGTGAACAACATTCAGCATTAAAGTAAACACCTGGTGCCTACTACAACAACTACAAGACTAATTATCTCAAAAACAAAAATGGTGGGGTCAAAAATTACAAGTAGCAACAACAATAAACAGTCATGTACTGGATAAAAGTAAATAGCAGGTGTCAACTTTGTCATCCACTGTAATAATAATTACAATAACATCAATAGTGGGGCAGCAATTATGTTTGATTAAATAGTTTTAAAAGATGGCAAAAAATACAGTTTGTTAAAAGAAAATGTGACTAGAAGAAAAAGAAATTTAGAATATTCAAAATGTGAGCAGAAATAAAGCAGAAGAGCTGTAGTCAGTGATAGCTATATAGAGGGAGAAAAAAGAAAACAAAATAGAGAAAGAACAAACAATAGAATCTGGCTGTTGGAGGAAAAAAGGGGAAGAGAGGGAAACAAGTAAACAAACAAACAAAAAAAACCATAACCTTCAAAAGACAAAACAAAGAAAAACAATACATGTTTAAAACATGATGAATAAGAAAAAAGGAAACAAGTATATTCATGTATGTATAGCCGTGAACCAACAGCACAGCAAAAATACAAAGAAGAGGAAGGAGGAAATGGAGGAGGAGGAGGAAAAGAAATTCTTAATCACAAATGAAAGAATTGTCTTTTCTGAGGTGGTCCAAGCTGTCAACAAGGATGGATGCTCACTGCCTATACAAGACTGTCCTTCTTGGGCTGTGTATTCTAGAGAGAGCAAAAGGTAGGAGTTGTTAAATCCTTCTTTTTGTGTTGCCCACCGAGTTGCCAGTTGGAATGATCTGCAACCACAGTAAGGTAGGAGGAAATGGGCAATAATGTCAATTGAAATTTTGTCCAGACAGAACATATCTGTGTGCTTCCAGAATTGGACTGCTATAGAGTTCTAAATGGGAAGGTCTAGTATCTGGGCTTAGCTCTAATCAGGCCTTAGGAGTTTCATTGGGTGGTGTCTGCTCTGAAGAGATTAGATTACCACATCCCTAGATCCAGGTAAATACTCATTTCTAGGGCATTTCAATACCTGGTTCTTAGGGGCCTCTCAGGAAGTTACTAGTAGAGCAGGAGAGACAACCCTGCAGGGGTCTCACATACTCCACCTGCTACCTGTGTAGCTCTTTCCAGGCTCAATCCTAAGTGTAATCACACTCACCTGTTGACTTCCTGACCCTCATCAATTGATTGTGTGAGCCACCAGACTCAAAGGGAAAGCAAGTTGCACTCCCTTCTGTATCTCTGATTTGAATTCCTGTGGTACAATTTTCTCTGTGTCTGTTTTAATCCACTATATACACCCTAGGTCACCCAATGGGCACTTGTTGGGACAGTATGACAATATTTGCTATGATGCCATGGGCTCCTGCATCAGCAAAAGCCACAGCGTGGCCTATTCAAAATGGCTTCCAGCCTCCACTTCATTGGCCAGTTGAGAAACACAGAGCATTTTTCAGATGTTCAAGACTAGCTCATTGTGCAACATTTGGTTCAGCTAAGTTCAGTTTGCTTTTCTGTTCTATAGTTGTTTTTCTGTCAAATTTGTGCATTGTGTTTTTCTCTCCCCTTTGCACTGAACCAGTGCTGCTGCCACTGCCACCACCAGCTTTACACTTTCTAGCCCTTTGTTCAATGCATCTGAATTTCTGGGACTCTAAGAGTTTCTGAATTCCCTTTCATCTACCTGACTGTGGGAGTATTCTTCATGCATAAATCCTAAGCCACGGATCAACTAGAAATGCAGGCCTCTTCTAATCCACTATCTTGAATCTCCCACACAAAGAAAACATTTTAAATACCTTGATACTACATAAAAGAAATTGCTGTTCTAAAGCCAGTAGAGCATTTAGTTATTACAACCTGGTAGATTCGGGATCCTTTAAAGAATTATTAATACTTATAATATTGTAAGAAAACTATATAAATAAAAACAAAAGAAGCTTTTCTAAGTTAAAAATAATGAAGGTATTACAAGGTTAAAAAATAAGATGTCAAGTCAAGAGTTGCCAGGTAAAATCACATTACTGTTCTAATACATTTGTAAACAGCAAAGATAAACTTGCATAGGCAAAAATAATCACCATCATCATCATCATACTTTTTCTTTTTAAAATTTCAGTTTTCTATTGAATTTCATCTGAACTAAGAAGCTATAGTCTAAATATGCTAGCAAATAGGTGACTATATCAAATAACAAATGTTCACAAATATGATGGAGTATCAACATATTAAAAAATTTTTGTCACGGGTTTAGTGAGGACAGTCTATATTGTTCCAGTTTTCTACAAGGAAGTAAAAATAGAACTGGTATGGATGACACTAAAGAAAAATGTAACTTGGTTTGAAAATATCCATATAAATTTAGAACAAATTCTGACTCATTATTTGTAGAGAGGAGTTTCTGGAAAACTTTTGATTAAAATCAGTTTCTTTGCTTGAGTGAAAGCTTTCTTTTTTTTTTCTGAATGGTTTGATAACACTGAAAAGGAAAAGCAGTTTATTTTGTGATTGTTTATTTTATAATGTACCATCTCTTTCTCTTTTTTCTCACTATTATAAGTATCTCTTTTATCCTTACACTAACCCTTCCTTTCTCTGTTCCCCAGAAAAAATTATGACATCAACATCCAAAGGAATTCTCCGCCCATTTTTAATTGTCTGCATTATCTTGGGCTGCTTCATGGCATGTCTGCTTATTTACATCAAGCCCACCAACAGCTGGATTTTCAGCCCAATGGAGTCAGCCAGCTCAGTGCTAAAAATGAAAAATTTCTTCTCCACCAAAACTGATTATTTTAATGAAACTACTATTCTGGTGTGGGTGTGGCCATTTGGGCAAACCTTTGACCTTACATCCTGCCAAGCAATGTTCAATATCCAAGGATGTCATCTCACAACAGACCGTTCACTGTACAACAAATCTCACGCAGTCTTGATACATCACCGAGACATCAGTTGGGATCTGACTAATTTACCTCAGCAGGCCAGACCGCCCTTCCAGAAATGGATTTGGATGAATTTGGAATCACCAACTCATACTCCCCAGAAGAGTGGTATTGAGCATCTGTTCAACCTGACTCTGACCTACCGCCGTGACTCAGATATCCAAGTGCCTTATGGCTTCTTGACGGTGAGCACAAACCCCTTCGTGTTTGAAGTGCCAAGCAAAGAGAAGTTGGTGTGTTGGGTTGTAAGTAACTGGAACCCTGAACATGCCAGGGTCAAGTATTACAATGAGCTAAGCAAAAGTATTGAAATCCACACCTATGGGCAAGCATTTGGAGAATATGTGAATGATAAAAATTTGATTCCTACCATCTCTACTTGTAAATTTTATCTCTCTTTTGAAAACTCAATCCACAAAGATTACATCACAGAAAAGCTCTACAATGCTTTTTTGGCTGGCTCTGTACCTGTTGTTCTGGGACCATCTAGGGAAAACTATGAGAATTATATTCCAGCGGATTCGTTCATTCATGTGGAAGATTATAACTCTCCCAGTGAGCTAGCCAAGTATCTGAAGGAAGTCGACAAAAACAATAAGTTATACCTTAGTTACTTTAACTGGAGGAAAGATTTCACTGTAAATCTTCCACGGTTTTGGGAATCACATGCATGCTTGGCTTGTGATCACGTAAAAAGGCATCAAGAATACAAGTCGGTTGGCAATTTAGAGAAATGGTTTTGGAATTAAAGTTTTTCCATCATCTGCACATTTAGTAAAATACTTTGATGAGATATCATCCAAAATTTGAGGATACGAAGAAAAACACCACTGTTTTCATGTCACAACTTATTTTTATCACTTTCTCTCCGGTAACATGTATATTTTGATGAAGATTTTTAAGAGCCTCAGCATTAGCTATCATTCCATTTGGTTTTAAATTATCCTGTATATACCTAATTATGTGCACTGAAAAAATAATTTATTCTTCACTATCATTTATAAACATTCTTTTTCATATTTTTGTAGTACTCTATAATATGTTTATGATTTGATTGTTCTTTTTACACTGATCATCTCTTTAATCATTTTGGGAAATTAAGATGCAATCTTAAAATATGAAAGATTTTGCTAAATATTATAATCTCTAGTTCCAAGTTGGAAAAACGTTAACAAAGAAAGAATGTATATAATCAAATTATAACCTCTAAGACTTCAGAGTCAAACAAAGTGTGTATCTATCTATCTGATCAGTGTTTATCTGTTTGGGGCATTTGCAAAGAAAATTATTTATGTATTGAATATGAAAGATAGAAGCAGAACTATTCTATTCAGGGAGCTGTTAGATCTCTGTTTTATTTTCATTAATTTGACATGCAAATGTAACCACCTATTCTCATGATCTTAATTTTAAGTCTTCAAGAATTATTAAATATCCAATTTGTTATGATTTTTCAGTGCCCAGAAAATAATCCTAATAACACTTAATAGGATCTAGGATAGTGCTCTTTCCAATCCTAATAACACTCACTTTTAAAACATAGCAAATGATTTCCTCAAATAAGAATGAAACATATATCTATAGGTACATCATATTCATAAATGGTACTATTTATGTTTAATTTTTAATTACTTATCAATTTAAAATATTTTTTTCTGAAGCCCAAATATTTAAAATAGTTTTATTTTACTATATGGACAAATAAATAGACATAACATTTGAAAGATCTCTCCCGTCACTTAAGAGAATCTAAATAAACTATCATTAATGTATGAAGTATAAGTGGATAAATATGATAAAATGAGGATCTACAGGAAACACATTGTTATCAACACAGAGTAAGATCTAGATACATATTTGTTAAATGAAGAGATAATGGCATTGAAAGTCACAGGGAAATATTTGTTTCAGTGAAGTGACAGTTCTAGCCTAGTGGTACTAATTTATGGAGATGATGTTTTATATACCATTTCAGTAATTATTCATATTTAGCACATATGACTAGGGTCTTCAGGGCTTTATAGAACCAACATAATCCTATCATGACACTAAACTTTTGGAGAAATTTATCGCTGAACTTTCATCTGCCTACAGCATTTCTCCCTATAGTGTTAGAGAAAGGAAGAGCTAGATAGAAGCAGAAATAGTGGGTAAGAAAAGTCAGATGTTAAAGATTCTTCAAGGAAAGCATTCTGCAAAGGAATATCCAGTGATTTTATTCCATTTTATCCAAAGATCATAAAAGAGATTACATAGTTCTGATGGTATCCACTTTGATGTATTTGTGACTTATTTTAATCATATTTCTGCATGTTGGTATTCTGCATTCAACCCCACAATTTTATACACCACATAGAAAATAGAGATAAATTTCAATTCAGTAAGAAGGAAGTATGCCCAACAATCATGACTGCCTTATGGAGAGAATGAACTCTCCCTAGCACTGGAAGGATTTGAGCAAAGGAAGTTGCTTGCATTGAACAGAGGATGGTTTCTTCCCCAGTTTCATTTCTTTAGTCACAGTGAATAGGCACTTGGTATCAGGCAGTTCCACAGCCAGCACAGAAAGATGAAAAGGGTGCTATCATTGCCTTAAAAGGAACTCACAATTAAGCAGAGGGATAAAGGAAAGCTTCCTTTCAATTCCAGCCTGAGTCTGTTTATACACATACTACTCTCAACAGAGTTTATATGGATCACTGTTGATTTAATGAAAAATAAAATAAGACACGTTAGCAAAGTTTCCCAGTTGTTTAGTAACTTGACATGTTTCTCAGCTGAAAACTTTGTCTACGCATTTGGTTCCCTTTATATTACCTTTTTTTCCCCATATAATATTTATTTTCTTTATTAAAAATATAGCATGTTTGTATGTATGACTTATTAGTCAATACATCCATTTATATTTATTTTATTGATAAATAGTCGGATTCATATATTTACATTTATTTGTCATTTCTATCTATAGAGAGGAAGGATCTAAAGAAAATGCATTGCCAACACATTTAGAAAGCCCAAGACTTCTCTGAAAGCTGAAAAGCTTTCAAGGTCACTTCAACCTGCCATTCCTGAAGTGGATGTTGATTATTTCAAATACCTGAAACACATGAGTTTAGTTTCCTCTGTTGCTGACTCCAAATTTGAGCTCTTTCTTGTATTGTGACTATGATTATATGCTGATAATGTGAACTAAGCCAAGGCAATAAGTGTTTAACTGGTGCATCTTCTTACTGAAATCCCTTACCAAGTCCCAGAATAATAAGTTTTCTTGATATGAAGTGCCAAAATTAATGAACCTTTCACTTCTGGGTCCATTGATCTGTAAGATTTAGGGAAGGATAAAATTACAGCAATATTTATAAACCTATCTCTTCTTTCTATTTGTAAACTAATGTGATCCAGAGATATTATTTGTTCAAGATAGGCATGCACACACACACACACACACACACACACACACACACACACACTGGGGGAGCATTGAACACAACTAGTGAGAGTAGTTAAGATTAAAATGTAATGGCCTCTCTCTCTTAATCCCATAATTGTTCTCTTTGCATTCCCACCTTACCATAAAAGTATGTCTGAGTGCCTATAAATGTGAATGTCTATTGGCATTGCTTAGTGTCTACATGATGGTGCATTCTGTGAAAAAACTTCAACCTTTGAAGGTATGCAATAAATAAAGGGTAAAACTTGCTAATATTTCTTTCTGGTTTAAATATTTTAGGAGTTGAAGTTTAGTAGATTAAAATGGGCTCTCATAGTATTTAAGTGAAATGCAACCATCAAAAGGTACCTGATTCTCAACTACTCCTTTATTAAATCCTATAGATTACAATTCTTCATAAAGATATTTCATGTAAAATATGTATTGATTTTGCCTGTGGCTGGATATAAAAACAAATAATTATGCCCAGTGATATATTATTATATTATGGATATAAAAACAGAACAGACCATTTAAAATGTTTGAATTCAAAATATCACAAAGCTATAACATCAATGGTCTGAATGTTTAATTATTAATTAAAGATCTTATTATTAAAAATATATAAATTTATTTATTATAGGTTTTACTAATAAGAATATATGCTGAATTCTTTATATCTAACAGTACTACACTCTGTAAAAGAAAAACTATGGTAGTCACATATTTTATAACAGCCATAAATTTGACAATATGAAGTAGAAACTGAGAAAAATTATCTTAGTGGTAAGCCAATATCAGCTTAAAATGGTTATGTTTACTATAAATGTCCTGATAATCCTATAATGTGCAGAAATGATAGTTCAAAATATTTCATATTATCGAGGTATAATATCATAGAATACTTAGGAATTATTTGCTGAACCTTTAAATTATTCCCTCCAATTGGAAATTAAATAGGAAAATAATAGGAAACTTGTTTTGGCTTATTTTAAAGCTAAATTCCTTGGTTCTTAGTGGCCTTGAAAGTGATTTTGCATTAATTAATATTTCCCAAACAAGTTTTAGGTCTTTCCATTATGACCTCATACTTGATCCTAACCTTGAGTTCCTTTTAACTCGGATCCTATTTAGGAGAACTTTTTGACAAATTATAATTAAGCTTTAATAAAACATTACAGAATCTAAAAGATTAGCCCAATGCAGAGAAGGATCTCAACAAATACTTGTTGAATGAATAATAAATGTCATTCATGGTCATAAAAATTTTAAAATTTAGTAATAGTACCAGCTTATTGTTACTGATTGGAGATTCTGTTCTGTACTTATTTTATTGGTCAGTCTTGTGCCTACATGATAATGAAAGACATGATAATTTCTTTCTTTCTTACCAGATTCTAAGACTCCAAAAGAAGTAACATTGCAAGAAATATTACATAGGATTTGGAACTTGTAACATTCTACTCAAATATTAATAGCATACCAACTGTTTCTAATGGAAAAAGAAAATGAGTATTTAAGGAGAATATAAAGTACAAGCACTGTGAAGGGCAGATATTTATTACTGAACCACACAGGGAGAGAAATACAGTTTATTTCCTCCCTAACTCCCTGACTGCATTCTGTTGTATTACAAACATCAATCAATTAAGATGATTTTGTTTCTCCAGATTTCTCACATCCAAAGATTTTGTAGCATTTTATGAGTGGGTAAACTCCACTACTATCCAAATTGTATTCCTTCTCAGTTATTCATATTCAATGCATCTATATTCATAAGATCTTTATAAAAACATTTAACAGAACTTAAATGAAAGATATTTTGCTAAATCATAAATATGAATAATGCTACTCTGGGTTATTAGTTCAACAAATTGCAATTTTGAGGAAGCCACTTAACCTTTCTGGACCTTTTTGTGTGTGTATTTCTGTCCAGCATTACTACTCTCTAATCTAAGATCTAAATTGATTCATGCATGAATTTGAAAATGAAATTTTGATGACCACCTCAAAATAATTTTTGGACATAAACATTTCTAAGAGATTTATTTACTGTTTCTCTGTATAAACAGTTAAAGCATGAAACTGATTATTTAAACTAATGGGTGGAAAAAAACAACAATCTTGGTTCTTTACTGGAGTGGGGAATATAGCAAGTGTTCAGTTAACTAAACGTCCTTCTTTATCTTTTTCCTCCCTGTAATTTCCTACCCATGTCTTTTGTAACTTGCTATTCACTGAAAATTTAATTCTTTGAAGAAAATCAAACATATACTGGGAATTATTTTAAAATATGCATTTGATGGCACTATTCAAATTCTTATTTTAATAATCTGAAACATTTATTGATACACAAAATTCATCCTAGGTATAATTTAAGTAAGATAGATTTAGTTTTGCTAATTCACAATTAATATATGTTCATGTTTTGATTTTCTTTGAAAATATTTTGATTTAAAAAGAACCTTTCTCCAGTGTTTGTTGCCTTCTGTCAATATTACTCAAAGCATGGTTCCTAGGTCACCTAACCTAGGGTCACCAGAGGTGATTACTAACAATACAGATTTACTGATTCTTGGGCCCTACAGGTCCACATAATTGGATTCTCTTCAAATAAGTAGGAGGGAAACAAAAGAACCCCACATTATTAAAAAATACATTTCCTAAGTTATCCTGTGCCTTCTATATAGTTGCTGAACCATCTTACCTATCATAAACCAGTCGTCCTCAAACACATATGTGTTAAGAACTTCCTGGATCAGCTGCACAAGAGTCATTAGAAAGATTATTTATAATACACACTTTCTGATACTCTGGATTGGAGATGGGACATGGTATGTGTATGTTAAAAATATCTCCAGTTCTGATGAGCTGGCACTTTTAAAGACTACATTCTGCCTATTAAACGAAAATTATTTTATACTTAAATGACGAGATGTTGCCTTTACTTAGTTCACCTGAATTCTTTTTAAATACATTAGAGAAGTATTTCTCCATTTCAAGATCAAGAACATTCTTTATGTGTAATATTTTATGCACAAGCACGGAACTCATTAACTAATTCTGTGATCTAGGGCAGGTTATTTACAGTCTCCAGACATTCTTTCAAGTTGCAAGTGGCTGATAATAATAGTTCTTAAGTCTGGATGCACAACAAAATCATCTGGAGAGTCTTTAAAATTGCTAGAGCTCAAGGACTATCTCTAGAGATAAGATCCAATTAGTTTGAGGAAGGACCCAGCAGGAAGAGTTGTAAGGAATGAATCCACAGGTAATACTGATGGTAAGGTCACCTCTGGGAGCCCCCTCTCCACTCATGGGAAGTCCTTAGCCTGGAGCAATTGTTAAGAAAGGAAAGGAAACAAAAGTGTGAGAATATATATATATATATATTCTCCACTCTTTTTAGGTTTCTAGCAGCATGTTTTTAATTTGCAACATACAAGACTGGACTAGGCAATAATTATGATTCTTTGAAGGCACTAAACTTCATGATTCTGTGATCTGTTTATCCATTGCTTATATTTAAGAGACCGCTTTCCTGGGTTCCAAAGTCCTCAATTGATAGGTAGAAAGATAAATTGCAATTAGGGTATGATAATGAGTTAAAGCATAAAGATTTTTGATGAGCACAGATTTAGAATTGTATCAGTGTTTTGCCATTCCCTAGCTATGTGCAAGTTACTTAAATTCTCTTAGCCTCATATTTTGCATCTGTAAAGTGGAAGCAGAATACTCTTGATATGTTCTTTGTAGAACAGATGAAATTATTTTCAAATGATTAGTTAATAAGTGTTCAATTATTATTATTATTATTATTATTATTATTATTATTATTACTGATGCTTGGGATAGAACTCAGCACCTTGTTCAACTAGGCAAACATTCTACCACTGAGCTAAACCACTAGCTATATTATCTTTTATTATCTTTTATTTTTATAAAAGATAATGTGAGAAGCCCAGAACCTTATCTTCAATTTCAGATCTAAACCCTGAAGATGTTAAAGTGGGCAGTTGGTAAGAATTACTGAAAATTGAGCTAAAGGAATATCTTAAAAAAAAAAAAAAGAGTGTGGAAGCATGTATTCACATCTTCTGTAATTAATAGAAGAGTGTGAGACTGGCAGCAGAGATGACTAGGCATTATTTGCATTATAAAACACATACACTATTTCTTAAAATAATTGAACTCAAGCAGCCTGATTTTTCCCTTCACTGTTATTAGCAACAAGTAATTAATAGTCAATTTAGTTTATTATCTGTTGGTATAACTCAAGTCACAGAATGGAATAGCAAGAAAATTCTTGGCAATCATTTCTGGTAAAGAAATAGACCTAATCTGACCTAACTTTCCTATGTACCTATATGAATATACCACAGTGAATCTCACCATCAAGTACCTCCATAAAACACTAATTTAAAAAAAAATTATTAGTAAATAGCAGAAAAATCTGTAGAGTAAAGGGGAAGCATTGGGGACTGAATTAGAACAAATTACATCCCATGCTTTTATAATTGTGTCAAAATGAATCCTATTGTCATGTATAACTAAAAATAAACAATAAAATGTTTTAAAAAAGAAATAGGCCTTAGATATATCCAACAACTTGACTTCATTTCAGCTGTCCACAAACAGACAGAATAAATAATGTTTGTTAGAAAAGTGAATTGAGTCTCCATCCACCTTTTCTAAAGCTAATAAAAACAAAATAGCCACTGGATTCAGGGCATACCTGCAATCCCAGCATCTGGAGAGACTGAGGCAGGAGGATCATTAGGTCAAGGCCAGCCTCAGCAATTTAGCAAGGCCCTAAGCAACTCAGCAAGACCCTGTCTCGAGATTAAATATTAAAAAGAGCTGGGGATTTGGCTCAGTGTTTAAACAACCCTGGGTTCAATTCCCAGTACAAAATTAAAAAAGAAAAGAAAAAGAGCCAAAAGGTTTTAAACTCTAAAGGCATAAATTCCATAAACAGGATTGTATTTGCTTAGTGAGGCAGAAATAAAATAGATCTTAGCCAGATTGTGATTAAGACTACTCTAATGGATAACTTCATAATACACAGAATTTCAACGTAAAAAATCTCAACCTTACATGTGGACATTTTTTAAGTTTAACTAGACTAAAACAAAAAGGTTAACTTAAGAACAATTTTAATTAATAAGTGAAAAAAAGAATAATCTTAAAAATAATATTTTAATTAATTCTTAATTGTGTTTCTTTAAAGAACAACAGAAATGTTTATTATTTCAATACAACATTGGAAAAGTTCAAAAATTGATTTTTTAAAAACTTTCTGCAACCAATAATTTTGACTTAATTGTGAATGTGAAGAATATTAAATTAGAGCTTTCTGGAATTTCATTGTGAAAAGACAAATGTGAGTAAATTTTATCTGAAAAAAATGTTAAGAGTGATATCTACAGTGTGAAATTGTAGAGGTATATTAATTGGTTAACTTTTCTATTCATGGCTCTATTTCATTTTGATTAATGAGGGTGAAAGAGATAGAAAAGCAGACTTAGCAGAAATGGTACCCAAAGACTCAATTAACAACTCAGGACTACTCATTATATAAGAAATATGTGCCAGACTTACAACAGGACATCCCAGATCTTACACTGGCTCATTAGACACCTCAGTCTCCCAGTTGAGATAACACTAAAGATGCCATCATTGTCCACCATGAGATTGCCAAAGGAGAGCTTCTCTGTGGTGGAATGCAGGACTTCAGGGACTTATAAAGAAACTACAACTCACTCAGAGTTTCTTCTTCAAGAGCCCTGAGCAAATCAAGAATATTTGATTGTCGGTATAAACTGGAAGCAGTTTACATTTTAGAAAACAAACTATTTAGAAAAAATATTCATTATTTAAAAATAATTAAAGACCAAAAATTATTATACTTTAGACCAGGAGTTTACTTAGAAAGAAAGAAAACATATTTCAGGTTATAGATGATCTACAGTCAAATCAATGAGTGCTTTGGAAGACAGGATAGACTAAATGCCATTTTTAAAAAGACAATAAAACACTAGTGGAAATATTGATGAGTTTTTATCCTTAAATAAAAATTTAAGTCTTTAGAGCTTTTATCATTATGATAGCCCTCAAAACAGATATGTTCATTCATATGCCTTCTCTCTCTCACTCCTTTTAAGTGTTATTTGGTAGGCGTTAGCAACAATGGAGTAATTGTGATGATATAAAAAACAAGATTTCTAAAGAGCCCCTAGGAATTAAATCATATATGATATAATAGTAAAAAGTAATATTTGCTTGCATAAATGCAACTGATCAAAATTGTTGAATAAAATTATTAATCATTTTCACTGTAATAATGTGATTTATTCTTAATCTGAAACATGTGAATATAGTAAAGGTTTTAAAATAGAAAAAGTTGAGTCAACAAGTCTATATCTAGAATTAGGTTCACAAAGCTTCAGAAAGAAGAAAAGTGTCAAAAAAACAACAACAACAACAACAAAAAGTGTAGTAAACTAAGGATCTGAGACAGGTTCTAATTTCCATAATCTATTGTGTAATTTCTGAGCAACATATATTTCAGCAGTACACTGAGGGTGATGGATTGTCCGATAGAATCCCCTGAGAACTCTTCATAAAGTTTGACTTGTTAATTGGAAATTCCAGTTTGGTTATATGGGCTGCTACATATTCTTCTAGACTTTTCCTTCCCTCTGCTCCCTTCTGTGTGGCCATGTCACTGTTCTGCAGGAGATGAGAAAGGGTAGACTGAATTTCACAGATAGTCACTCAAAGATCTCTGATTAAAGTGTTGCTGAGGAAGAATTCTGTAGTGAAGCTTTGCAAATGAAGAATTGGGACTTTGCAGGCTTCTTCTTGAGTCCATGCCCTCAAGATCACACGTACAGATGAACATATGCTGATATCTTTTATCAGTAGTTCAAGTGTAACTTTGAATTAAAGGACTTACACTCAAGTAATGAAGGTCAAAAATGACTACGATGGAACAAAATGTGCCAATTCTATCCAATATGTGAATTGTAAGGGTCAGAAATCCATAAACAATTTGGATTGTAATCGTATGTTTCATTAATGTAATGTAATTTTGCACTATTGTATTGTCATATATATATTAAAAGACTCTTAAAAAATACCCTGAAACCTAATGCCAAATGTACAGTTTATAGGTTCATGTTATTTCTGATAAGAATTTAATTGCATTATGCTAATAGTTGTTTAATGCCATTAACTTTCTGTGGGTGTATCATTGTGATGCAGATGTGATAAGGTTGTTGTAAGCACATTAATTAGTCATCTGAATTTTTATAGATAAAATCATACATTGATCAGATATCACTTTTGTACTTATTTTTTTGTAGAGTATTTTTTCACACTTGAAAAAAAACATGTTTATTTTATATCAAACATCAGCTTTTCTTTAAAATCTTATTTTAGTAGCCAATGCATGTTTTAAATAAGATGTTAAATATTATATGACAATATTAAGATTGTGTTTATATTAGGCAAAAAAAATACGCATGCAATTGGTGAATCATGCATCTTTTGGGGGGAGGGTTTACACTGCCAACTCACACACAGGCTTCATTTCAATCTGTGTGCATGATTCACATCCTTACAAGTCCTTTTGAAACATTCTGTAAAATGAAGATGTTATTCTTAGTGCTAATGAGCCAATAGATAATGCTGCTTTGACTTTTTTTTTCCTTAACTTTGCAGCATATTGTACAAGTTTTCCCAAAAAGTTTCTTCCTGGACTTGTTAACAATAAAATACAACAAATAAAAGCATTTATTGGTAAATGATACCATTTATAATATAGAAAAATATTATAAAACATGAAGAGGTGAAAAAAAAACTTATCTTTACCATGTGAAAAAAACCTTATCTTTACCAGTTTCATTCTATGAACAAAATATTGTGGCAGCTTTGTCTATAATCAAGAATGGTGTATTTTTTGAAATTTATTTATTTTACACTGCCAAAATCAGTACTACTGCCAAGAGGGAAAAATGCTTGAGGTCTGGTTTGCACAATACTAGAGGGCGATAACTTAAAGCATCATGCAATACAGAGAGCCAATCAGTATAATTGGCAGGGGATAAAAACGGTGGTCTTAGCTTTTTTTTCTTAATGACTTAAGAAATTTCTAAAATGTATAAATAATATGAATTCTGGCTAAGATACATGACTTTACATGCTGATAATTGATAGGAATCTTTGAAAATGACAAAGATCATTCTATTAAGAGAAGGGTGTTTTAGTTGTGTGTGTGTGTGTTAATTTGGCTGTTTATTTTTAGAAAATATACTTGTGTTTTGAAAGGTCTTAATTTCAAACAGGAAATATGTGTAGGCCAACTGTTCATTCCCCAGATGAAATTAGTCATTGATCATAAATATCAAGGCTAAAACATAGCTTTTGGTAATTTAAAATACCAAGATAAGCATTTATACTGTTGGAAGGTAATTTCATTGCTAGGTTATTAAAACAGTGGGAATTCTATTTATGCAGTTATTTATTTATTTATTTATTTACAGACGATTGGTTTCTTTTAGTTCAATTTTAAAAGCTTCAGTGAAGTTAATATAATGGTAAGAAAAGTTGATTGTAGCTACTATTCCAAGTGAAAATGATATCACCTAATCTTGCTGTATCCTTGGAGTAAAGCATTAATTCAAAAGATGAGCAGTCAGTCCTAGCAATGCAAAGGCCAACTACATGATCCAAGCTATTGTGAGTGACATTCAGCAACATTGATCTGGGCTCTTAGTTTGATACACATCATTTCCTTCATTGACTCATCCTGTAAATAACATAACACTTTATGGCAGCTAAGCACTTGTTTTAATAAGCCATGAAAGGCAAGATGCCATAGGAAATCTGTATATTCCACTACTTGGAGAACTGGTACTTTCCACAATTAAACTGGAGGTGCCATTTGAAAGTCCTTTCCCTTACAAATGCCATCCCAGTATATATTCTGGCTCATGATGTCTTTCTGGGCTTATAAATATATGGTGTGACTGCTGTAATTTTGTGAAATTTTGGTTAGCACTAAATAATGACTACTGCAATCTGTGCTGATTCCAAGGCAGAAATAATCGTTTAAGAATTTGAGCCTGTTGTGTGTAAAAAAAAAAATAAAAAATAAATAAAAATCTTTTTCATCGGTCGTATTTCCTATATTCATTGTAAGTACCTCACTGATTTAGCACTGGAATTATTCCTTGGATGTGTAAATAATGTTTTATTCAGGCCTAATGAATTCCTGTAATGTGAATATTTAAAATAAAAGACTTCAATTTAAATGTACAATAGTTAGTTCTGGTTATTTATAATGCTTAAATTCAAAATCATCCACTTGAGAAGATTCATTTTCACACACATGCAACTCTGGTTCCCTGGATATATTGAATTAAAATTTAAAAGTAAATAAATACATTTTTTCACATTATACATTCATTATAGATGCTAAGTCAAAAATAAAAAATGAAAAAAGAACAGTCAAAGGTACACAAGTCAACTGTTCTACGCTAATTTGCTTCCATATTCTTATATTATTTTAATGGATTCTGGACTATAGTTAGTCCCATTAGTAAGTGGGCTTATGGAATAAAAGAATCCCTTCATTTTGCTTTGATCCTGGTTTTGAAGTTGTCTCATCTTGCTTTCGCTATTCTCTGATATTCTGCACATTATCCTGATTCCTCTTATTCAGGGCTACAAATCAACAGGAAGAGAAGATCCTAAATGTATGCACTCATGATGGACTTCTCTCTTTAGCCATCTATCTATCTCTGTCTTCCAATTGCCAACTACCTCAGACCCACGAATCTGCAAATTTCATCACCCAATTCCCCCCTCATCTTTCATTCAATTAGAAGCACTATTATAAATTATATTGCCTAAGAATGAAACCTTAGAGAATATTCTTGAATCTTCCTCTTCCTTTTCCTCACATCAAATTGACCATAAATACCTTTTAATCATGTCTCATTCCTTCTAGTCTACTTTTATTGTCCTAATAAGTTAGCAGAGCCCTTAACACTTTTTACTTGAAAAAAGAAAAAAAGCAATAACCTCTTAAAGTTTCAAATACCTATACTCAGCACTGCCACGAGTAAAACAGAGTAAAGGTGAAAGGTAAAGAAAACTTAAATACAGTGTTGATTCAAAAAGCCACATACGTTTCAGAATCTTCCATTGGTTTCTCATAGCTTTTAGATAAATGACTCATTTGGCAGTAGGAGTATGACTGTCCTTTAATATTTGCCTTCTACCAAGTTTGCTTGGCTCTTCTTTGTTCTTTGTGTTTTCTCATTGCATTTGCTCCTTTGTGATGTCTTCCACATCATTCACAGCCCAGGCAACCTTTCTGCCTACTTAAGTCCTAACATCCTTAACATTACACTCAAGGGTCATATCCAGTATGATATAAAATATACTCCAGATATAAAATGTATTTTGGAAGTATTCAAAAGCCTAGGAAGCAGGTAAGGTGATTAGCATTTTCATGGAAGAAGTGATTTGTGAAATAGTCCTTAAAGGAAGAATTTAGTTAAATTTTCAATGAAGATCTAAACAAAGATACACCGAGTAAACTTGGTTGATTTTGGTGATCTTGATGAAAGATAAAGCATTAGGGTGTTTAAAAAGAAAAGGGTCAGAATATGGGGAGGTTGATGTTCAAACTGATATGTGCAGAATAATTTGGTTGATTTGAATTGAATTAGTTTGTGTTTTAGTCAGCTTTTTCACTGCTGTGCCTGAAAGACCTGGGAGGAACAATTTTAGAGGAGGAAAAGTTTATTGCGGGCTCACAGTTTCAGAGATCTCAGTTCAGAGATGGCCAAGTTCATTCCTCAGGATCCAACATGAGGCAGAACCTCAAGGCGGAAGAGCATGGCAGAGGAAAGCAGCTCAGAACACGGTAATAAGGAAGCAGAAAGAGTTCTGCTCACCAAGAGCAAAATATGTACCTCAAAGGCACACCTAGGTGACACACCTCCTCCAGTCACACCCTACCTGCCTATAGTTACCAACCAGTAAAACCCTATCAGAGGATTAACCCACTGTTTAGGTTAAGGCTATCATAACTGAATCATTTTACTGCTAAACTCTCTTGCATTGTTTCACACATGAGTTTTGGGAGAACACCACATATCTAAGCTGTAACAGTTTGATTTGATTTACATTACAGTATGATGTAAAGTCATTGAAAATTTATTAGCAAATATGCAATGGGTACAAAGTCTCAAAACACAACTTTTTAATACTCTAAATCATTAAAAAATATAAATCATTAAAAAATGATAGAAGGTTCAGAGAAGAAATGATAGGGTTGTAAGAGTCTTAACCCAAATAGTGATTTAATCCCCTAATAGTGATTAACTGAGTGGTAACTGAAGTGGCAGGGTATGACTGAAGGAGGTGGGAATTGGGATGTGGCTATGCGGTATGTATTCTGTATCTTAAGAGTGAAGTCTCTCTCTCTCTCTCTTTCTCTCTCTCTCTCCTTCTTTTTCACCACGTGAGCTGCTTCCCTCTGCCACACTCTGCTGCCATGATTTTCGGCCTTCCCTGCTGCTCCAAGGAATGGAGCTGACCTTCTAAGAACTAAGACCTCTGAAACTATGAGCCCTTAAATGAACTTTTCCTCCTAAGATTGAACTGGTTGGTCCTTTAGTTACACCAGTGAAAAAGCTGACTAAAACACTAGCATCATAATGTCTTATCCACCCTCATGGCCAGTTCCAATGTGTGTTAATGAATAGTATATTCCTTTTGCTGAAGAGAAGCAGTATGATGTTTGGCTCAGTGTCTACGGGCCAGGTTGGACAGCTGGCATACACTCCCAGTTTCAACTTTGCAGCCTAAGGAAAAGTTTTTTTTCTTCTTGTAATTTCTTTGTATAGGAAGCAAGAATAATATCAATATCTTTGTTATAGTATTGTTATAAAAACTAAGTGAGTTGGACTGGTAAAAGGACAAGACAGCTCAGTGGAAGAGTACTTGCTTAGCATGTGTGAAGCCTTAACTTTCATCAGTAGAACTGGAAGAAGAAAAAATTAGGTGAATCACTACACATAAAAAATTTACAACAGTACCAGACACAGTACTCAATATCTAAGCTATTATTTAAAATGCCATGCAAACATTTCCCCAGTGCATCTTTTCTTTAGTTCTAAAACTAATTAGTTCTCTAATAACTGCTTTGTTCTTGGGCAGGCAGCTAAGGAGGTTTTCATCACCTAGCCCATGAACACAGTAGGACATAGCCCACTATGAAAGAATACTAAAGTTTTGATAACTTACACTATGGTCAGATACTCAAAAAAAAAAATAGAACAGACCCTGCTTTGGGATTACCATATCTAAAGTAATAGTGGTAACTCAGGATTCATCTTATTGCCAAGAGTCTGACAATGTTCTCGGTAAATAGATTTGGCTTAGTAAAAACTGAAATCTCATTTCCAGATAAGAGATAGAGCTTTGCCCTCCTTGTATGTATATCCTCTCTATCTTACATCGTAAAAAGGACTTTAAAAAACGGAATACCTTTAACAATAGGTATATTGCCAAAACTTACCAGGAAAATAAGTCCAAGTTCCAGAAACCAGGAGGACATAAATGCCCACAACACAAAATCTGGTAAAATAGAACAAATAAATTATTGTTCAAGGTTCAGTGTTCCTCTGGGATTGCCAAATTATACTATAATGTAAAACATTAAGCCCCCAAATTAAAGGAATATCTAAAACTCAGAATGCTATTTACTCAAACTATAAGTAATTCAAGTTGAAAACTGTTTTATAGTCTATGAATTTAAAAACATAAGAAAACATTTGTATGACCATTTGGCCATCTATTTAATTGGTCAACATATGTTATTTATTTTACTAAATAGCCATGTTTGCAAATGATCATTCAGACTGAACACTGCATCAAATGGTGTCCTTTAAATCTATGTTCCAAATTAATCTAGTGCCAAACACTCATTCTTTGTGTTATTCATTAAATTAAAAAGCAGGTCAGTGGTAAAAACATTTTTAAAATGTTTTGCAAATATTCCCTTTTCAGAAATTCACAATGCGCTTTCATATGTTAAAGCCCTCAAGATCTCCTTCAATAAAAGGGTGCATCTTTATATAACTAAACATGTCTTAAATATATTTTATCACAGAAATTCTATTTTTCTGTTATGGCAATTTACAGAAAAGTGGTATTCTAAATAACACCCTTTTTTAAAATTTTTATTCTAATTTGTTATGTATGACAGCAGAATGCATTACAATTCATATTACACATATAAAGCACACTTTTTCTTATCTCTGGTTGTACACAAAGTAGAGTCATTAAAACTTCTGCTCTAAAGCTACGTGTTTTTGTTCTAATGTCACCCAGGTTTGATATCATAAGATATTTGAGTCTGACTGTCCCTTCTTAGTAATTGCATATTCTATGGAATTGTGAGGCATCCTAGTCTGGTCTGGACCCAAGAAGTCAGAGTGACTTCAAATTCATATTCTATGGCTCTTCTGGAAATCAACAGTCCTCTCAGGAGGAAACATCTGCAAGCTATCTAGTCGGGGCATCCTATCTACTTCAGGATGTCTAGTCTAAACACTAAATTAAGAGGAAGCCAAAATGATAGTAATAATTACATTAGTTGTTTGCCAAAACACCTGAACCCCTTCAAATTCCTCATTAGACTACAAAATAGAACTCTTTCTCTAGTATATTACATGAGATGATCAAGAAAATTAAAAGTCCATCTTATGTCAGGGATATGTGAATGTTGAAAAATACACTCATCCTGAGTTCAGCAAAAAATAACAATGTACAACAACAATGAATCTATTGAACTAATTTTTTGATCTTGTTTCTTTCTCCTTGCCCTTAATAATCTCCTGCCTCAAATGTCCTTCAGATATGGTCTTGTTCACTGTAGTGAAAAAAGAAAAAAAAATGGAAGAATTTGTGAATTAGAATTGTTGCCACCAAGAAGCAGAGCTAGAAAAGTAGACTGAAGTTTTAGAGAGCTACAAGAAACGTTATTCTAGAAAGTAAAGAATTATGATATTCTACAGGGTAGGCCACAGACAAAGAAATAATATTCCAAAGAAAGAGAAGTGGTAAGATTAACACAGAAAAAAAAAAAGCAAAAGCATCTAGATATGTGCAATGGTGTATCAAACAGGAATGCAGAACATGGCATAGAAAACAGGAGAAAATGTTGGGAAGACTAGAATGAAGGAGTGGCAGGTGGCTTCTATCCCATTTATGCAAGAGAAGCTCATCAACACCAGACATGGATTCTATAAAGACCAAGACCTACAAGATGTCATGGACTCTGGGAGAGATTGAATAAAGAAAAAACTCAGAAGCTTAATAATTACAGTGGAGTTCAAAGGTGAGATCATCTCAGAGTCTATGGCAGAGCCCCTTAATAGACTTGGCTTCTATTTTGACAAGTCTCTAAGCTTGTAGATGATACTCTAGAAATTCCTAGATAGTAAAAGAAGGCCAGAAACTCTGAATTTTCTAACATCCCTTAGCTTGGCAATCTGGCCAAGTATAGTAATTTACATTTCCTGGTTGTAAAGATGCTTCCAAGACAGAAATTTATTCCAGTAAAGCTATAGACAAATGTTGGAGTGTTTTTGAAAACTGCATTGTCATCATCTCACATCAGATGAAAACTTTCCTGGAGAAATAAAATGTTCTTAACTGCTTTCTAGAGGAGAGGAATTTGCTGTGCTAGAAGTATATTTTCACAGAAGTGGCCATATAATAGATATATAGAAAAGTATTTATCCAAAGCAAAATAATACGCAATATTCACCAAAGTATCTTTCTTCAAAATTTAACAATTGAACAGGGATTTTCATCCTCTGTACTAAACAAGCTTTAGGATATATATTTCGGAAATAATTTTCACTTCCAACCAAACAAGACCAATGAAATAAGAAGATAAGTGCTTTCCACACACCCAAATCAGGAAAACAGACAACTCTAATTATCATTTTAACATAAAATCACTCCAAATTATGTCTGTTCTGTGTTTATGTGTATGTGTGTATAAATCAGTTTAGAAACTGGAATAATACAGTATAGTTCCGATTTCTCAATCCAGCCCTTGTGAATTGCATTTTCATATTTAAGTTATGAGAATTTCTACAGTTTGTAAGGTGGCCATTCAAGTCTATTTTCTAAAATGGCCAATGAGCAAACAAACTATATCTTCAATCAGATCAGGATGTCTAGTCTAAAC